TAATGCTAGTACTGAGTAGTAATGATTGTTATGAGGTGATTGTAAACCAATGTATAATTGCGTTCATGTCATATACATGTCCCGGTTTTACAACGACACAATCCTGATAGCATCTTAAAACATGCTGGGATACCATAATTTGTTCAGTATTTTAAGGATGATCATTTATGATACGCTTGAACATAGATCCATAAATTTATTTATTATTCAGCAAAACTGGATTTCGTACAATAAATCATTTTATGGCTCAAAATACGTAAAGCATAAACATCTGCATATTTTCCTTTGGTGTCTGTTTGGATATGAGTGAATTCAAATGAGAGACTCAGGGAATCTCCATCAATTAAAGTCTTATCGTTGAACTTCGGAATTTTACCGGATAACCTAAAATTTTAGTAAATTCTCGTTTTATTAACTTACTGCAAGAAATCTTTTGCGTTTTTGCTGTCATATTGACAGATGTAAACAGATGCGAAAGCTTTTGTCTATTGATTCAATCCGTTTCAATAGTATTGAAAATTGTCGTTTAGTTTTCATTCTCAAGGAGATCTTTTTTTGTTTCGCCGATTTAAGCAAACATGATTCACGAATTCAGTTATGTAGTCATGCATAATGCTGCTGATGACGAGTACGATGAAATTTCCCTCAGTCGTTTCCGGTGGTTAGCATAAGCAAGGGATATCTTGCAAGAATGCAAAAAAAAATCTAGTTTTTTGCTGCAAAAGTATCCATTCTTACAGAAAATTTACCGACGCCAGGCGTTTATCTTTAATGCACAAAAAATATTGGGACAGGAAGGAAGAAAGGAAGTGAAGCGTTATTTCAAAACGTCCATTGACGCATTCAAAGGAAGTAGATAGGTTCGGGTGATGACGAGTTAAGTAAGAACGAAAATGCCGTGGCATTGAGGTTTGACGGGGAATTTTTCTGATGGACAGCGATCGGAAAGTTTTGATTCTGCACCGTACATAGTCATGGAAGTGATTTTTCATTGTAAAGTTTATTCAGATGTCACAGATTGATGCAAGATTGTGTATGTAAGAAACCTTTAGAATCTGAGGAATTGTGCAGCTGCTTCGTTCGTAGAGTTCATTTCCGCTTGATGGTGCTAGCCT